TTGGATTTTGAAAACATGAATTAAACTCAATTGAAGTCTATTGGAGTTTCAATTTGGGTTTAAACCCCGGACCCCAAATTGGAGCTAAATTGATTTTAATTAAAACTTAGGGTTTTTTATTTTTTTTAAAAAAATTAATTTAGGGGTTTTCAACAATTCAAATCCTAAAGGGTTTGAATTCATTTCATTTCAAGAGAAATCAAGTCAATTAGACCCATTTGAACAAAAAAAATTTGAAGAAAAATCAAAACTTAAGGTTTGGCTAAATTGAGGATTTTTTGAAGAAAAATTGATTTGGGGTTTTTCGATCTAGAGGAAAATCAAAAGGTTTAGGAAGGCAAAAAGGAAGGGAGAAAGGAAGTTAAGGAAAAAAAGAAAGGAAGTAGGTGGCCATGGACGAACCACCACCTGGTTCGTCCATGGTGGTTTCGATAGGAGAGAGAAAGAAGAAGAAAAGGGGAAAAGGAAAGAGAAGAGAAAGAAGAGGGAAGGAAGAAGAAGGAGAGGGAAACGAGATAAAGGGATGAACCGAGTTTTGGTTCGTCCATTGAGGTAGCCAAGAGAAGGAGGAAGAAGAAAGAAGAGAAAACGAGAGAGAGAGAGAGAGAGAGGAGTAAAAAAGGAAGCTTTGATATAAAATTAGGAAGCAAAAGAGGAAATTTGTGTTTCGAGTTTAGTTTTTAAGTGATGTGGGTTGGGCTAGCCTAACCCACGCGTGAATGGGTCGGATCGACTCTTTTTTTAAAAAAAAAATTTCCTTACGGGTCGGACAGTCCAATCCGCCTCTCTCCAAAAAATTAAAAAAAGAAAAAAGAAAAAAATCATAAAAATAACTTTTTTTTATGCATGTTTGTAATTAATTTAAGTATTGAATCCTCTTTAATTATTTAGTTAATCTAATTTTAATTTTAAGTTCATTTATCCATATTTGTTAGTTTATATTAATTTAGAGTTTGTTAGTGTAAGATTTTGTAATTGTTTTAATTTAACCTTAAATTTATTTTATGCATGCTCGTTATTTAAATTTCGGTATTTGAATTTTTTTATTTATTTAATTGATGTAGCTTTAATTTATTTATTTAATAATTAGAGTCGAAAATTAATGAGTGGAGGATTGTTAAGTCTCCTAATTCTTTTCTTTAGGGATCGATGACGGTTTTCTATCAAATAAAAAAAATAATAAAGAAAGAAAAATAAAAAAATATAAAACTTTTAACAAAGTCTCCTATCTAATAGGGACTCGTTGTTAGCAAAAATAAATTATTTTAATAAACAAGTGTTCTCCGACACACCGGTTGTGTCGAGACTCAAATAGTGCATACGATATTTGAACGACGTGTCTCCCGATGGAAGGGGTCCAATGATCGTTTCAATACAATGTCACACTCAAAAATAAAAAACTTAATTTGGCTTGAAATAAAGGACTTGAAAAATTAGAGTTTTAAATTGAAAAATAATTTGGCAAAAATAAAACACTTTAGGAGATGAATTTAGGACTAGACTAGACTAAACATACCTTTCTCGGAAAAAGGTGCTTTTGGGTTATTAAATATCTTTTCATAAGCGTAACCAACTCCTTACCATAGAATCTCCGAACCGATTGCCCATTTTAGGTTCCTAGTTCCTTCAATACTAGGTAGCAACTCCAAACTCGTAAATAATTTTGTAAATAAATAAATCTTAAACTAAGAGATTTTGATTTTGGGGAGTCCCATTCGATGTCGAATAGCGACAACTTTCTTCACATCTCACTTTCAATTTTGCTTCCAAAATGACTTTTCTTTCTTCTACTTTCATGAGTTTAGAAATATGATGAATTTACTCTTCTTATCTCAATTTCTTTCAAACTTTAGAAGTTAGCATCTTATGAAATGACTTTTTTCTCTATTATAAATTTGGTTCACTTCATTGCAATGCTTTTCTTGAAAATTGCCTGGATAAAGAGTTCCACGAGTTAACATCTCTTGGAATGACTCTTTTTTTTATATATAAAAAATTTGATAATTTAGTGTAATATCATAAACATGATTAACACTGCTATTGTGATCGCCAAACTATTTTGTGAATTCTTTTTGTCATTCTTAATTAAGAAGAGTTTGTAACAAAAGAATAAAAAAGTCAAATTCACTTGTAAACCGAGAAATCAAGGTTGAAAACTTAACGATTGCTCAAAGTTTAAAAGAAAACTTATGTTAATTGATAAGGACATGTGCTTATAAATTGAGACTCGTTTCTCCGGATATAATATTCATGCAGAAATTCAATTTTTAAGGATCATAAACACAAATTATTGATAAAAAAATAAAACCAAAGAGCTAAATCTATCAGTCTACTTTGATCATTACCTACAAGCTATTACCTACAATCTACTACCTAGTAAATTTCGAAGTCTTGAAACTTGAGATAGTGTTATGAGAGCTTTCTTATCGTTAGCAAATGTTGTTGAGTTAAATGTTGATTCTTAGATGTTTCTCTTCTACTGCTACAACTTATATCTATAGACTTATGCCTCCTTCATGATCTTTTGTAATACTCAACTTCCTCTAAAACTTCATATTTTTGCATTGCAATGTTTTGTGTTTTTTTAACTTGTTCATATCATGCCTTTATTCTTTTATAAATGTTATTATCGTGTTTTACTTTCTTCGCACTTTCTCATACTACCTTGCAAAACTCCACCTCTTTATGTTACTATATTGAATGTGGAACCCGTTACGTCATAAATGTTAGGGAAGTTATACCTCATGTTTATCTTTTTACAATTACTTTTGATTAATCGAAGAGTCTATGGTCAATAAATTTTTACGCCAAAGCAAATCACCCAACAAATCTAGTACGGGTTTGGGTATAACACATATCCGATAGATTCTTTCAATGAAAATGGTTTAACCATATATATATTATAAAATAAATAGAAATAATAGGAGAATTGAAGAAAAAGATGACAAAAAAAATGAAATCACTATAATGCGAATATAAGCGATAAGAACTTCAAAGTTTCTCTTATTCTCTCTTGGAAACTTGTACATCAACTAATAAACAATCAAGCATATTTATAGGCTTCAAAATTGGAATGAGAATTGAAAGGGACTATGAATAATTAAAAGTACATCAATTGCATCACCATTTCAATTTCTCATATTGAATAGTGAATTGAATCATATTAAGAATCATAAGTAATGGGGATATAAAAAGTGGATGAACATGATTATGGATATTCAATATTTCATAACAAAATATATATATATATATATATATATTGGAGGAGTTACCTTCCATTATAGCATATAGTACCCTAAAGTTCATAAAACTTTCCCGTTAATAAAAAAATTAAAGAACTACATCATAGGTCGGCAATTTAAGACCCCGTCATTAAATTGAAAATACAAAGTGTCTTTTTTACTACTTCACTGGCTGTGGGTTCACATATAAAAAGAAATTCGACGTTACTAAAAAATTCAACAATTAATAAATCACATTATATTTTCAACTTTTTTTTAATTCTAGTGCATGTTGAGAAACAAGGGCATCTAAATGCTACCTAGCTTGTCCGTGAATCGGACCTAAAAAATAAAAAGCTTAAGAGCACATAGAAAATAATCACATTTTTTTATAAAAATAATTTATCAATTAATAAATTATACATTGCTTCATTTTAGAGACTAATATAAATTATATTTTGAGACCTTACCTATCAACTTAAACTTTTAGGTAAAATGATCTTTTAATATATCCTGGAGCTAAATAAGATGATATTTTAATATATTCGGAGCTTCAGCCTACCAACCTAATGAGGTATTTTAATACCTCATATTGCCACTACTTAACATAACTAAATAATAAAAAAAGACTTACTAAGTGCCCGGTAAGCTGACAGATTCCACTGGCTACAGCACTTTTTTGTTTTTTTTCACAATTATTACTATCGTTTTTTCTTTCTTCTCACCTTCTCGTACCACCTTGCCGTACTCCACCTCATTGTGATACCCGTTTTGTCGCAGATGTTAGGAAAGTTATGTCTGATGTTTATCTTCTTATAGCTGCTTTTGATCAATTGAAGAGTTTATGATCAATAAATGTTTTGGTCAAAGCAAATTACCCAACAAGCCTAGTCTGGGTTTTGATTATAACACATATTCAGTAGATTCTTTCAATGAAAATGATTTAACATGAATAACTCTATTATATATATATATATGGTTACCTTCCATTGTAGTATATAGACTAAAGTTCATAAAACTAATTTCTCATTATTAAAAAATTAACTACATAATACGTCGGATAATTAACACCTCGTCATTAAATTGAAAATACAAATGTCTTTATTACTACTTAATATATATATATATATATATAGTTACTTTCATTATAGTATATAGTCTAAAGTTCATAAAACCAATTTCCCATCGATAAAAAAATTAAGGAACTACATCATGCGTCGGATAATTAACGCCTTGTCATTAAATTGAAAATACAAATGTTTTTTTTTTACTACTTAACAGGCTGTGGGTTCACATATAAAAAGAAATCCGACGTTCCTAGAAAAATTCAACTACTGATAAATCACATAATATTATCAACATGTTGAGAAACAAGGGCATCTAAAGGCTACCTACCTTACAGGCATGTTCGGTTTGAGAACAAAGTTAATTTTGTTGCTATTCCTATTTGGAGTTCGAATTCCACTATTTATACCACTAGTTCAATTTGTTTTCCCTCAATTTTACTACTAGTATTTGTTCTTTTAAAGTGTATTGTCTGATGACCAGATTTGATGAAAATGTTGTCAACGTATATATGCAGCAACTTCTTTTGCCATTCATTTTTTCGGTTTTTTTTTTTCTGCCACCCAAATAATTGACACTCTTTTGTTGATTTTAGAAGTGAAAATATTGATTTTTAACTTCAAATGCTTAGAATAGATTATATTTTTGTCGAAAGTGAATTTGCATGGGTTATGACAGACATTTATGCGTCCTTTGAGCAGTGAAAGTAGACAGATGGGTGACGATAAATTAGCAAGCACTTCAACTGAAATTGAAATTCTGTGCAAAGACCTTGTGATTGAAGTTCCAGATAACATTGAAACTACCATGCGGAAAGAGATCTGTTTCTGCATGTTCCGGTAAACCTGCGCCAATTAAATGAAGCAGCCTATACCCCTCAGCAAATTTCTATAGGCCCAATTCACCACGACGAGGAAAATCTGAAAGGTATGGAAACACAGAAACAAAGATATTTCAAAGAATTCTGTAACAGACTGCCTAAGGAAAAACTGGAAACATTTCGGAAGGAACTTGTGAGCGCCATTAAAGATTGTGAAGTTCGCACTCGCAATTATTATCAAGATGAGGCATTTAAAAATTTCGACGATCCAAAAGTGTTTCCGAATAAGATTCGGAGTATGATTCTATGGGATGTTGTATTCATCTTTGAGCTCTTCTTGAAGACTAGCGAATAAATAAACGATGACAAAAAATCTCAAGACAAATACAGGTACGATTTTATATTAGGTAAACCCTGGCTGAAAGCTGCTATTCAACGGGACCTGATATTGCTTGAAAACCAGCTACCGTTCTCAATTCTTGTGGAATTATATAGCGTTGCCACCAAGTACATTGAAACCGATTGCTCTTCTTTCCTGGAACTTTCTTGCCAGTACTTCAAAGATCACAACAAGATCAATTCCGACCGTAAAGAACCATTAAATTTCACTGATTTGGTAAGATCTTTTTTGTCCTCCAAACACCCAAAGTCATATTTTGATGTGCCAATTAAAAATCTTCACAGAGCAACTAGGCTGCACCAGGCAGGATTGAAGTTCAAGCCATCACCAAATGAATGCTTGCTTGACATAATAGCAGGGAGTTCTATCAAGAAAACTGAGTTGCGTGTTCCACCCCTTGAGATTGACGATAATACTGAATTTCTCTTACGAAACCTTATGGCGCTGGAGCAATGTTATTATCCTCGTCAAGAGTACATCTGCCATTATGTTAAATTTTTGGATTTTCTTGTGGACATCAGAGAAGATGCAAATTTGCTCATTAAAAAAAAAGTTATTGTTAATAGGCTTGGAGAAAGTGCTGCTGTAGCTGAGCTGATTGACAAACTTTGCCTAGAAATTGTAGAAGTAACTTCATGTTATAACGATCTCGCCAAAGAGTTGAATGATTACTACGATGGCTGGTGGAACCAAAGTTGGGCCTACATGAGAAGAGTGTATTTCAAGAATGTTTGGATAGGCACTGGAACTGTTGTTGCATTGATCGCCCTGTTCATCACTTTGTTCAACTTTATTCGATCCTTTATTTAGTTCTCTCGAGGTTCCATTGCTTCAAAGTCAGTAGAATTCCCTTTTTCTTTGTAGTTAATAATTGTAATTCACTTGTTTGATTGGAAGGAATATCAATTAGTGTATATCTACATTACTATACCTATCTTGCTCTCCACTATTGCATCTGATGGTACGGGATGACATATGTGGCCATGGATTCCTACCTGGTATTTGAAGTCAACTAAGCTGGTTAAACAAACAGGGATGCTCCCCATACGAGCCGTAGCCGGGTGACTCCAACATGCCCCGTCAGACAGCATTGTGTGAATCCTACACCACCAGTTATGGGCGTCCTTGTTGGTGGGTTCTTACCTGGGTGACAGTTCTTGGCAGTCCTGTTGGACCTTGTCAACCTCCACCAATCAGAGAGCAAGTAGTACAAATATTAAATGTTCACATATGCACAGGATACTTACCCCCCTCCACGCATAAGTATAGCATAAAACCAATTAACTTTCTTGTCTTGTTCGATTGATAAAAAATTAATGTTATTAACGCCAATTTATATGCTAGCTGATTAAACAAGTTTGCTTTTTTTGAAAACTTGAGCGATTAAATGAGATTTTAATAATAATTTTATATTATTCTCAAACATTTTTTAAGTAAAAATATTTTGTACTCAAAAGATATACAAAATTACTATATTTTAATTAGAAAATAAAACGAATATGGTGAGTTTCGAAGTCGTCATAGTTTGTCTATTAAGACTTTAATACTATGTTAAAATACTATTATAACTAGTCTTAATACTACGTCAAAATATCGTTATAATCTAATTTTAACCTTTTATTTTTACAAAGTTTCTAGAAAATAAAAATAAAAAAAAATCATGCTCACAATTTTAATTTGGTTATTTTGTAAATTTTTATGATTTTTAAAGCATGTTATTATTTTTTGTAATTTTTGAAAAAAAATAAAGGAAGCAAAAGAAGAAGAAGAAGAAATCATAGGTAAAATTGAAAGTAGAAAGACGCAAAAAAAATATATTGGAGTGAAATTGAAAAGAATGACCGAACAAATAAACCATATGATTTAACTAAAAACACCACAAACCCTTACGCATATCAAAAAAAAATGTTGGGGTGAAATTGAAAAGAATGAAGACCAAACAAATAAAGCATATGATTTTACCAAAAACACCTCATCTCTTATATATACCCTTATTACCAACACTCACTATCACATAGTGAACTTTCGATGATCGCAAAAAATAAAATGAATAGGTGTTTGTAACTATGGAGTTGATGCTCAATTTTGAAAAAATGGATAAAAATCAAAAAGCTAACATTGGTCATAAGAATTGTAAGTAAAGGGGTTGATTACACAATTAAAGAAGACTACAGATCACTTAAGTGGGCCCTCGCAATGAGATTACGTACCTTGTGTTTCTAGTCTAAGAGAATTTATTCATGCAAGTCCATTCATATGTTCAATTGTTTATCTTGATTTGCGAGTTTGACCAAATCTAATAGAGGTAATTTGAAGACTAAAAGAAAATTCAGTCTCTCACTTAATATTCATTGGGTCGTTGGAGTCCACTTGGGAAGGTAAAAGTGAGAGCTTAAAGCCCATTACAAATTATACAACCCAAAATTCCATACAAAGATAGGTAAAAATAAAATAGAACAAACATGGACCATAGGCTCAAATTCACTTACCAAATCATGAAATAAAAATAATTACAAATCCATAATAAATAAATAAATAATGGACTTAGGTCTTGAGCCCATGTCATCTTGCCATGCCATTTTAAGATATTAAGTTAGGCCAAAAGCCCAAATTCAAAGCTAAATCGTCAAAAGAAAAAATTAGTAGCACTAGAAATAAATTGAAACTAGCATTCAACCACATAAATAATAAAGGTAAAAAAATAAAATAATAATGAGAATGTCGATACCCGACTTCGACGGGACTCTTGAAAATTTAATATTTTATTTTTATTTGAATTGTTTATTCTTTCTAGAGATGTGAGATGTTATTGATTTTTTGAGTTACCACGTTATTATTGATCATTTTGTGATTCACCACCTAGTATTGTCGGAACTAAAAACTTAAAAATAGCACTTGGTTCGAAATTTTAGAATAAGGACTTAGTTATAGTTTTGGGAAGACATCGATCATCTAAAAATGTCCTTTTTCGAAAAAAAGGTACCACGTCTAGCTTACTCCTAACATTTATTTCCTGTGTTTTATTTGTGCCTAGTTATTTCTAATTTAAACTCCAAGTTCTTTGTTTCCTAAGTCAAATTAAGTTTTTTATTTTTATTTATGCAATCATATTGAACTAATCATCGGACTCCTTTGTTGGGAGACATGTCGATTTAGCATAAGATCCACTTTAAGTCTCAACATAATTGGTATGTTAGAGAACTACTTAATTACTAAAGTGATTTTTTCCTAAGATCAGTCTCAATTATATATGAGTCTTTGTTAATTTTTTTTTAACATTTTTTATTTTTTATTTTTTCCTTTTTTTATTTTTTACCTAATATTTCTCTCTTTTTTTCTTTTTTCCTAAAATGTTAGATTTTAAGTTAACAATAAGCATAAATATGACTATCTTGTGGATGAATCTATTAAAACCATAAAATATCTAAATGCTCTATCCGGTGAATGAATTTTTTCACATATGTCACATTGAATACAATCCAAAAATATTAGAGACTCAAAATTAATTTTACTTGGTGATGACTTAATAATCAATTTGTCTTAAGAACATATAGAACATAAAAATTCATTAGATTGAAGAATATTCGGCTCTTCAATGGATGCCCATATGAATTTTCAATAATTTTTTTATCATGATGGATCTAAAATGGTTGAACTAGTCATGCCACAAAATAAAAAAATTAGTAAACTATAGTTTATGGTAACATTTGTTTTAATTATTTGAATGTTTATGTAATAAACACCGGAAGAGAAAGAAAGTAATTTCTCTAGTACATGTTTTATGCTTCGAGGTAATAGTTATAATATGTAAGTATTCAATAATTTTAATATTTATTATCTCGATATGATATCTATTTAGACGAATATCTTTGAAACTAAATAAATTTCTATAGAATTTAAAAGATCATGCATTAGTTATAATAAAATTTATCTCTTCGGGTAATGATATAATCGTTTTTTTCAAAACCTTTAATTAGATTGATACTACCAAAAATAAATAAATATATATATTCTTCATAAACAAAAAAAATAAATAGATAAATAAATATTTAAAATGTAATAGGAATTATAAGGAAACATAAAATATCTAATTTATAAAGGTTTAATGTTCCAAAAAATCACAAATTATATACGTCTTAATGATTTTAGCTCGTTCTTTAAAAATTATATAAAAAGTCACCAACTAAGCCTTCAATAACAATACAAGTACCGATCTAATTTTTGACCAAAATTCCAAACAATGCTAACATGAAAAATGATGAAACATGACGAGTGGACTTAATGTGCCCACTTAGGATCCATGTAAGCGAGTGATGTGAAAAATTAATTACAAATCTCGAAAGACATGTCATTTCCCATATATCCCAATTACAACAAAATCCATAATCCCTAAATCAAATTAACCATAACCCTTTGTTCTTCATTTTAATTTTTCATAGTACCAAATCATGTTTCGTCGTTAATCGGCTAAACTAGAAACAAGCACAATAAAGTTCCAAGCCAAAGGCAAACCAAGCTAAAAAAAATACTACAATTCATCTCTTTGCTTCATCTTCTCGACCTTCTTGTTTCTTCTTCATTCACTAGTTCTCTCTTTTAAACTCACTCCCTTTTGTAAACGAGTGGAACCTTATAAATATTGGAAACTAAACACGTTTTTTTCTACGGTTAACTTTTCTTTTCTTCTCGTCATCTTATCTTTTTGGTTGATTTCTCTGCTTTGTATTTCCTTTCTTTCACCACCTTGTTGCAAACATATACATTCAATCATGGTAATTTTTATGAATAAATACAGAATCGGATAGCCTTGATTACTCGTTTTAGTTGAAGAAACCGATGACTTAGGTTGGGGATCCGATTGTTGTTGGAGATCCGGGTTTGTGTTAAGAGGGTTGTTAATCTCATCATCATCGAGTCATAATCAAGATTGAGAGATCGATCAATTGCTTCACATCCCTTTTCCAATGCATGACTTACAAGCGATTTCTATGGCAATCCAACCCGAACCACTTCTACTTTTGCTATCAATGCGATTGTCACTGCAGCCCATCGATCTTCACTCCTCCTTTCCATCAAAAATTCAATTTTGAAACTTAGAAAAGAAGAATTTATTTCTAAAGTTAACTCACAATATTAATTTTAATATAAATAATAATTAAGTTGCATTTCATTCCAGATTATGAAAATAAATTATTAGGAAATAAATTTACACTTTATCAATACCTCAAACTTTGACGTACCGATAAAATTGAAGGAAAAAGCTAATGGACATGTTGTGGAAAATTAAAATGAAGAACAAAAGGTTAGGGTTAATTTGAATTAGGGATTAGGGATTTTGTTGTAATTTGGGTACATAGGGGATGACATGTTTTTCAAGATTTATAATTGATTTTCCACGTCACTACTTACATGGATTCTATGTGGTACATTAAGTCCAACTATCATGCTTCGTCACTTGCCATGTCAGCATTTGCTTGAAATTTTGATCGAAAAATCAAATTGATGCTAATATTAGTATCGAAAGCTTAGTCGGTGACCTTTTTATATAATTTTTAAAAAATGAACTAAAATCATTAAAATGTATATAGTTCATGATTTTTTAGAACATTAAGCCATTTATAAATAGAGAAGCTAACAAATCACTATGCTCTTTTCTCGTTAAGATTTTCAAAAAAAAAAAAAGTAGTATTTAAATGTGTCAAATTACAAAGACCATCAAGAGAATCATTGTCAAAAGCATTATTTTGATATATAAAATTTATCTCTATTTTTTTCTCTTTATTTTTAAATGAGTGATAATGCTTAAAATACATGTGTTTAAATTGCTAAATTCCCATGCATTTTACTATTTTGAGATGTCTAAATGATAGAACTTAATTGTCTTTTATATTCTATGTGCTAGGTATGGAACCGATTTAAAAATGGCGTTAAAAGAATCATATAAAGAGAATTCACGATCGAACCAATTCAGCCACTCGGAAAACACAAGAAGCGTAGGCACATTAAGTTTAAAAGCGTGGGCATGCTAATACGGCAAACGTGGACACACAAGTACAAGAAGCGTGGGCACGTTAAGACTAGTAGCGTGGGCACGCGATTGCAACTGAACATAGACGCATGAGGACATGAAGGCGTGGGCACGTCGTAACTT